CAGTGCGCCGCTTGGGAGTGTGGCGGCCCTCCCTCTGAGGGTTCGGATCCCACATACAGACCAGCCACTCACTGGCTGAGTGAGGTGTGGACACAACACCGAGGGTTGCGATCCCGTTGCCAGTCCCGGTCCGGTACGGGCGTGACACTGAGGGTTGTGATCCGTTGCTGGTCACGAAAAAAGACAAAAAAAAAAAAATTCAATGTCATTCTTTACACAAGTATAAAATCAAATTTGAAATATGTATAGAATCACAAAATACCACAGACAGCAAAGAGTCATCTTGAGCAAAACTAAATAAATAAATAAGCTAGAGGCATCACACTACATAATTTCAAAATATACTGCAGAGTCTAGTAAACAAAACAGCATGTTACTGGCATAAAAACTGATAGGTTGGCCAATGAAATATAATAAACAAACCATAAACATTCCCATATATCTGCAGCCAACTGATAACAAAAGTGCCAAGAACACACAAAGGGGAAAGGACAGTCTGTTTAGTAAATAATGCAATAACTACCTGTCCACATGCAGAAAAAAGGAGTAAGACCCTTATTTCAACCTTTGTACAAGAATCACATCAAAATAAGGACATAGGCAAGAGATTCTAAAATTCTAAAATTTGAAAATTATTGGAAGAAAAACTAGTCAGAGTGGTCCATGATATTGGTCTGAGCAATGATTTTCTAGATATAACTCCAAAAGCACAGATAATTAAAGCAAAAATAGACCAGTGAGATTGCATACATCTAAGAATTTTCTGCATAGCAAAATGAACAAATAAAACAATCAAAAGAGACAACACAGAGATTCAGAGAAACTATTTGCAAATCATACATTTCATAAGGGCATAATATCCAAAATGTATAAGGGATTCAAACCACTCAGTAACAGGAATACCCTATTAAAAATAGGCAACATAGGTGAAACACTCCAGGAAGTAGGATTGGGTACACACTTTAAGAGTATGACCCCCAAAGCACAGGCAACCAAAGAAAAAATAAACAAATAGGATTATATCAAACTAAAAAGCTTCTGCACAGCAAAATAAACAACAGAGCAAAAAGACAACCAACAGAGGGGAGAAAATATTTGCAAAATATTCATCTGACAAAGGATTAATATCCAGAATATAGAGGGAACTCAAACAACTTAATAGCAAACAAACATATTCATCTGACAAAGGATTAATATCCAGAATATAGAGGGAACTCAAACAACTTAATAGCAAAAAAACAAACAACAACAACAACAACAAATAACCCCATTAAAGAATGGGCAAAGGAGCTGAATAGGAATTTCTCAAAGGAAGGTATACGAATGGCCAACAGACACATGAAAAACTGCTAAACATTGCTCAGCATTTGGGAAATGCAAATCAAAACCACTTTGAAATACCATCTCACTCCAGTTAGGATGGCTAATATCCAAAAGACTGAGAATGACAAGTGCTGATGAGGATGCAGAGAAAAAGGGACCCCTCTACACCACTGGTGGGACTGCAAGATTATACAGCCTCTATGGAAAATGGTATGGAGTTTCCTCAACCAATTACACATACATCTACCATATGACCCAGCTATTCCACTGCTGGGTATATACCCAGAGGAATGGAAATCATTATGTTGAAGGGATACCTGTACTCCCATGTTTGTAACAATAGCCAAGAGTTGGAAGCAGCCTAAATGCACATTATGGAATGAATGGATAAGGACTCTATGGTATATCTATACAACAGAATAGTGCTGTGCTGTAAAAAAAAAAAAAAAAAAAAGAAATACTACCTTTCACAGCAACATGAATGAACTTAGAGCAAATTATATTAAGTGAAATAAACCAGGCACAGAAAGAAAAATACCACTTATTCTCACTTATTTCTGGGAGCTAATAAAAATAATTAAATAAATATACAAACAAATGGGGCATGTGGGGAAGAAGACACAATTACAATTCCTTGAACTTGTTAAGACAAGTGAACGGATATGTTTATGGGGGGAGAGTCGGGAGAGGGAGGGTGGAAAAGGAAGATGTGGTAAAGGAACCTGAAAATTAAATATATTGTATATTGATGAAATAAAAAAAAAATAAGAAATGGCCAATAGTTCTTAATAGATATTTTTCAAAAGAAGGTAATCAAATTACAGTAGATGTACAGAATGGAATGAATGCTACCAGGGGCTGAGGGGTGGGATTAGAATTGTTAGTAAAAGGGAACATGTTAGTCTAAATGTACAAAGTTTCAGTTAGGCAGGATGAAATACTTCTGAAGATATATTGCACAGCATAGGGAATATACTTCACAAAAATTAAAGTATTGAATATTTCAAAGTTGAGTTAAAATTTTAAATGTGTATTTTAAATGCCTTTCCTCAAAAATAATAAGTATGTGAGTAATAGGTAGGTTAATGAGTCTGACTTGCTCATTCCACAATGTGTACACATATGGAAACATCACACTGTACCCTCATCCTGCACTTCTAACCTGGTGTCTTAGAAATGGCCCACAGAACCTAGATGAAGTATTCCATTCTAAGTGGATACCCATTATGATTTAAGCTGAATATAAATCCAATCAGATTCAGATAGGCATGTGTGGACATGGAAAGGAAGTTGACATTGATCTTTAAATGAAACTAAGAATCAATGTAAAAGTGATAATGAAAAAGAAGTGATTTACTGCATAATATATTAAAAGAAGTGAAAAGTTACTATAACGTTAGACATTATCACATGTATGCACAAGTATCTGCAAACACATCAGTGAAAAAAGAAAAGAGACAGGCTTGATAAATTCAGTCAATTAAGGACTGAAATACAAATATGAGTAACCCATCTCCACAGAGTGTAAGCAAAACAAAATAAAACTGAAAAAATGCACTTGTCCAATAGCAATCACAGAAAGAGGGATGTAGTGAGGTCTTCAGAAGTGTCTAGACTATCTGGACTTGAGGACACTCTGTTCACAGCAGAATGTATAAATTAATGTCCTGCTATAGTTTGAATGTCCCCCTAGAACTCATATAAAAGTGTAATGCTCATTGTATCAGTATTAAGAAGGTGGAAAATTCAACTATGGTATTTGAAAAATGGGGCCTTTGCAACATAATTAGATAGGGCTATGCCACCACAAATGGATTAGTTGATTCATGGAGTAATGAGTTAATCCTTTATTGTTTATCAGTAAGTATACAACTGGCTGTAGAAAAGAGAAAAAGCATGTGGACACACTTTTGCCACTTTCACCATGTGATACCCTACATCACTCCTGGACTCTGCAGAAAGCCCCCAAAGAAAGAAGGCCCTCAGCAGATACACCCCTATGACCTTAGACATCGCCTCCAGAAGTGTTAGAAAAAAATTTTGTTCCTTAATTTGTTACCCAGCTTTAGGATTTTTTTTTTTAACCAAGGGACAGAATATCAATTTACATAGTCTGAAAAAAATGTGCATGAGAATAGAGGAAAAGAGAGCAATGGAGAAGACTGAGAGGGAATAGCAAAAATAAACAAAGTCTGAGAACAGGCAGGTAGAAATTAGATTTGGGGTAAATATAAAAAGAAATTCAGGAATATAAAAGGTGAAGGCATACATATGAGAGGCAGCCTTTTAGATTACATAATGCATGTGTTTGATGCAGTCAGAGCAGCTGTCTTCAGTTCTAGGATCTGATGAAAAAGTCGGTTAAAAGCTGAACATAGCAAGCATGTGCTGGGCTTTAAACTTCCCATATTCCTTGCTCAGTGTGTGGAGACTGACCTGGGAGGCTTTAGTTTGGAGATTTTTTAGCAGCCATTGCTCTGCTCCTTGCTCCAACCTGAAAATCACCTCAGGTTTGCTAGTGCAGTGCCCTGTTAATGCAAAATAATGTAGAATTTTGTAAATCTGTGAAGTGAGATCCTTGCAAATGTGACATGATCTTGGATTTCAGAAGCTGCAATGAAGAGGCCAACTTGAACCTTTAGTTAGAGAGGGATTGCTATCATAGTTTTCATGAAATAGAATCTTTTTATGTAGCATTAAACTGTATAAATCATTCTTGTATTTACCAGTGGGGAAAAATATGGCTCCTGGGATTTATTAACGTGCTTTATTCATCCATAACAACAAGCTGCTGTAGGTCTCCAGAATCACATCCCCGTATAGGGTCCTCTTAGCATACTCCAAGTCTTGGCCCCTTTCTCAGGTGAAGTCCACAGCCATGTTCTTGAAAGACATCAATCCCTGTAACACCACGTTCTTCCTCAACTCAAGTCACCAACCCTGGGTCACAAAACAGGAATCTGAAATTTCACACTTTTGTGTGTGTTTGTTATATATATCTTACATAAACTGCAGCTTCTTTGTACATCATATGGTCATAGACCAAAATCAGAGCATAAATATCTAGTCACTGTAATAATTTATTAATGACTAAAAATGCTATCACAAAGCTTACCTTGTAAATCTAGAACCATCCTAGTTGCTAATGATGAAAGTTTGAATACAATTCTGCTCCTGCAAGGAGCTTACAATCTGGTATGAATACATAAGTATGAATATATAGCTGGAATAATGTGTTAGATAACTAATTTAGACACAATTTCAATGTACACTGAAGTAAGAAAGAATGAAATAATACAGTTCTATTTTTTATTCCATTTGCACTTCACTGCAATGCCAAAGAAGTTAAACTCTTCCATGTGAACAATCTGTTCTCAAGATTATGAGGTAACATAAAAATTCCAATCATAAGAGCACAAAGAATACAACCTGTATTAATGAAGTTACACACAACACCATGTCTAGGTGTATGGTTTGGGGCCATGAAAAGGGATAAACACAATTTTGAAGTAACTAATTATGTAGTGATTCTATATTAAAATATTTGACTTAGTTCAAACAACAAAACATTTCATGTGTATATTGCTGATTTTTAATTACTTATAAATTAAAAGAATGTAGATAAACATCTGAAAAAGTTTTTCTACATGTCAAATAATTGCTTCTCATCATTCTAGGATGAAAACACTGCCACCACTTTTCAAACTACAGGGTGTGAATAAATGGGGTGCTGCACAAGCAGGTAAGTTACATGACCAGATTTGCATTTTAACACTCATCCCCTGGAATGAGAAAGGGAAGTGCAACTCAGAGGAGAAGAAGACAGGGTGACAGATGAGCCCCTACATCAGGGTGTAGAGCAATAACCATACAGAATAGGAAAGAATTTCTTTTTTTTCCTTTTTTTTTTTTTGTCCTTTTTTCGTGACCGGCAATGGATCGCAACCCTCAGTGTCGCACCCGTACCGGACCAGGACCAGCCACGGGATCGCAACCCTCGGTGTTGCTCCCGCCCCTTGCTCAGCCAGTGAGTGGCCGGTCTGTATGTGGGATCCGAACCCTCGGCGGGAGTGCCACTACACTTCCCAAGCGGCGCACTATAGCAGTGCGCCACTGGGCCGGCCCAGAATAGGAAAGAATTTCTATAAAAGAGAGATGAATAGAAAGAAAGAGCAGAATATGGTACTAATTTGCTGAGCAGAAGGGAAGAAGAAAAATTTTATTTCCAGGCCATGTGCAATATCACAGCTACATAGATACTGGTCTTTTAAATTAAAATTTGTAAAATGAAAAAAGAATATGATGGGCAAAATTGGCACAGACTTGGACACATCATACTTGATATATCTGTGGTCCAACCTGCGGGATGTCCAGCTGGCAGTAAATATATAATTCCACAGCTTACAGAAATCTAAGCTAAAGATAAAAAATTTGGAAAGCAGCAAAATTTCACTGATGCTTGAAGTTATCCAAGTGAGTAAAATGACTTTATGAGAACCTAAAAGACTAGAGAAAAAGAGCTAGTAAAGAATCAGAAACAAACAAACAAACAAATATTTCTTTTCTGTTGCTTCTTTTTTTAATTGACAAATAATAACAATACATATTTATGGGATATAGCATGATATTTGATACATGTACTCACATACCCTGTGTAAGGATCAAATCAGGGTAATTAGCAAATCCATCCATTCAAACATTTACTATTGCTTTGTGTTAAGAACATTTAATATCCTCTCTTCTATTTGAAAATATAAAATAAGTTATTGTTAATTGTCACCTAAGAGCACTATAGAACACTAGAACTTATTCTTTCTGTCTTTGTTTAAGAAAAACTAATATTTACTAACAGATAAGGAGAGAGATTTCACAAGGACAGACAAAGAATTTCCTGAGTTTATATTATGGACTTAAAAGAAAATGCTCAATGTTAAGACTGCTACTAATATAATTTATTATGTTTACAATGCTGCAAAGAATATTTCATTATTCACATAGACATCAAGTAGATACTTTAAAAAGCACCATCCCCATTTCTAGTTCCACATGTAAGGAGCTTGAAAGAAATTTCTCTTTTTAAACAAAAATAAAAGGCTAAAGAAATTAAAAAATAAAAAATTCTTCTTGGATTCATGAGAGAGTAGATGACACAGGGAAAACAACTGCCCTCAAGATTAGAGAAATACTAAAATATAGGCAGTCATGCCTTACAGGAGCAGAGACTCACCTGGGAAATCACCATGGGAGCAAGTGCAGGAGAAGGAAAACCTGACTGTGAAATGGTGCCTGGCCAATTTTTGAATGCTCAGTGTTGGCACCTCTGAGAGTAAAAATCTCCAGGGAGACCCAGTCATAGGCAGGCCACCATGATATTGTGAAATTTACCTCCTGGAGGTCATAGGATCCCGCAGTAAATACTGAAGAAAACTGACCTTTTTTCTAGTGGGAGAAGGAGAAAAAGCAAATCATTCTGAAATATGTCAGAGCACTCTGTTACTGTGCCTTAATCTGCTTAACATGACTATTATCCAGGGATAAGAAACACTGTGGTTAACAGGGTCCCTTTTGCATAGTCATTCAATGTAATGAACAACTCCAAAATTCAGTAACAATCCCAGAAGTCATGCTGACTGTGACGTCTCCATTTTCCTTCATAGGCATTACCGAGGCTTATAAAAATATGAAATTAATTAACAAGAGAATAATGAAAGTTAGAGGAAAGAGTCTAAATATTCATCCCAGGAAGGAGTAGAATTTTAAATAGTTATTAACAACTACTCATAAAATAAATAAAGAAAACATTGAGGGCTGTGAAACTAAGATAAAAAGCAAAGGGGTGTGTCATGAGACTCAACACAGGAGGGTAGAAATCTTTAGATGATAATTAAGAAATAAGATCAATAATATGGACATTGATGTAGTTTTAAAAAGAAAAGGCTTAATATCACACTATCAAAGGTTGGGCGGGGAGAAGGACCTGTTGTTCTCCCAACATTTTAGGTCCTCAAACAACTCTGCTCTGTTTACCCCAGTTGGAGAAAAAACATGATGGAAAATCTACTCTGAAATTAACCAAGGCAATAGTCAAGCATGTTAATGATGATAAAGACTGACAAGAGAGCCACTCAGGACCCAAAGTCTTCTAGACTAATTCTCACTCAGGACCTAATGTCTTCTAGAACGTGTGAATAAAATGGTGGAGGGGGGAATATAGGTATGAAAGGACTTGCTCACACACAGTCACAGTATATGCTCAAACTCAACATTAGACAAACGATGGGAGGGTCCCACTAGATAGATTTTTTTTTTAAGTGGATATGGAGATGGGGGGTGAGGAAGAATGCTGGTATAATTTTTCATTTCTTCTCCGCATCACCTCACATTTTTTCTTCCTACTTGATACAGTGGTCATAGGACCTGAGCTACATCTGCAAGTGCTGGAATCAACAATTATTACAAAGCAAGAAACTGTAATTATATCTTTAAATTATATATTTATTTTTTAAACTGTTGTGTCATAATTCCTAAGGGCATGATAAAGCAGGTTGTGTTCTGAAAGTATCTGATAAAACTAGGGTTAACAGTAAATCCGTCTCTATTGCCAGGTGGTAAGACAGCCTGCTGGGTCTCTATCAATGTGAATCTATCCTATGTGAATGGGAGTCACTGGTATATGGAGGTGGGTATTTGTTAGACTGAAACCACTGTCTGCAATCTGGACCAAGCACAGTAGACAAACCTAATGCCCCATCCACTGTTGAATAAGTGTGAGTATAAATGAAGAAGCAGAGAAATAGTAGCTGAAAGTAAAAGAACTGATAAGTCAAATATTTAATGAGGGAAGTTCAGTATCCCCTCAACACCTTGAAAGAGACTCAGAGCAAGAGATGATATTGTCTTTTAGCTCAATTATAGGAAATGACTGAGAGGGTTGGAGCCATTTGTTGCTGGGACCACTCCTGCTTTTGGAACCTGACAAGATATAATAGAAGCCTGAAACCTTAGTAGCCACCCCCCTAAGGTGGAAGGTTGAGTTTATTACCAATGGACAGTGATGCAATTAATTTTGCCTATGTAATGAAACCTCACTAAGTATCACTTAGAATTGGGTTCAGGAAGCTTCTGAGTTGGTAAATACAGCAAAGTGCTGGGAGGGTGACACAACTAGTGAGAGCATAGAGGCTCATAGTCTGGTTTATAGCAAAGTCAACAGAAGTGTGTATTTGCTAGGGATCCCCAAAGAAAAGGAGATTATTTAAAGATAAAAGGCTCAACTCAGACTTCCTGTCAAGATGGTAGAACAGACAGTCCCTAGTGTTACTCTCTCTTACAAATCAACCAATTTATAAGCATAAAAAACCAATGACAGCCAAGCTGGAGCTACTAGAGCTCAAGGGAAGAAGAAGAGAGACCTACAGAGTGCATGAAGTTAGGAGAAGCCATGATGAGAAAAAAAAAAAAACACTCAGACCATTTTGAGCCCTGGCCATGTCCAGGCTGGAGCTGCTGAGTGCATGGAGCAGGAGCTGGCAAAAGCCACAGCTGTGCCCTCTGCAATGATGTTGCTTGGAGGCAGCAGGGAGAAGTGGGCCTTGGCAACCCCCAGGCCAGCAAGACCATTTATAGGGTTCCCATGGACTCACATAGGAGCAAGGAGCCACAACAACTGAAGAAAAGGAGCCACTCAGAGGTTGGTAAGTCACTGCCAGGGACCGGCACATGGCCTGTCCCATGGGAAGTGTTTACAGCACAGGCAGTCGGGGAGACGGGTCCACTGGGAAAACACTGGGGCACAGCAAGGATAGCTGATCTGCACCCTATCAGTGAAGGACCACTCAGAGGAGACTGTGGGAATATAAAATTGCATGGAGTGCAGTTTGATGAGAAGACTCAGGCCCAGACAAGAGTTTTGGATCTCTCAAGAGCTGGAAGTACCTATAAAGTCAACCATTAAAACTTGAGCTGCAAAAAAAAAAAAAAAAAAAAAAAACCCTTCCCCACGGAATCAGCAGCAAAACAGCAATGTAGCTCGACCATACAGCTCATGTACTGGTCCCCACAGGAAGTTCCCCCATTTTAGAAGTAAGCAAAGGACAACAAATTAGTTCCAGCACAGAGTTTTAATGGTGGGAACAGCAAATATTCCAACACAGAACTGAAAGAAAAAACAAAGTACCCGCAACCAGAGAAAAAGTTTCATATTAACTAGTAAAGGTCTCGTTTCACCAAAGAACACCTATAACACAAAGAAGGACCAGAAGACCCTGAGATTCCAAGCCCAAAAGGATGGAGGGCCAGTGGCCTCAACAATGCCCTGAAACGCCTGCAACCAATCTTGAGGGTTGGGGATGAGGGCCTTAGCCATGCCCACCTGACACACAGAGTCAGCCCAGAAGTGACCACCAAGCCACTGTTGGAAGGGCCCTGGGCTCTCCTATCTGGGGTGGTGGGGGCCTCAGGCCTCAGCCATGCCCCTTTGACACCCACAGCCAGCCCAGCAGTGATGACCAACCTGCTTCAGGAAGCACCCTGGGCTCTTCCAAGCCAGGGTGGTGGGGGACCTCAGGCCTTGGGCCTTGGCCATGCCCCACTGACACCCACAGCTAGCTCAACAGTGACCACCAAGCCACAGCAGAAAGTGCCCTGTATTTCCCAACCCCAGGGCTGTGGGGGGTTGAGGGACTCAGCCACACCCCCAATGCATGCAGCCAGTCCAGAAACAGCCACCAAGCTGCTGCAGGAAGCACCCTGGGCTCACCCAAGCAGTGGCAGTAGGGGGCCTCTGTCCTCAGCCATACCCCCTGACATGTGGAACCAGACCAATGATGACCACCAGGCCACAGCAAAAAAGACCTTGGCTTCCTGAGCTGGGACAGTGGGGGCTGTGAGCTTTCCACACTCCCCTGAAATCTGCACCCAGCCCAGCAATGACTAAGCCAACCCTGGAAGACCCTCAGTCTCCCCTATGAGAATGAGGGGAGTGCCACAGGCCTCAATCCCGCCCCTCCTCCTTCCTTTTTTTTCCATCCCATTTCCTTCTCCTTTCCCCTTTCCCACTCCCTCCCAATCATTCCACAACATCCTAGAATGTAAAAAATAATATTAATAAAATTTCATTTTCTTAAAAAAAAAAAGGCTCAACTCACCAGAAACACACAAGCACCAAACCTCAAAGATTCTTTAAAAAAATAAAAAGGATAGCAATCGAAATACTAGGAGATTTCAGTAACCCACATGGAATAATAAATACATCAGTGAAAACACCAATGAGTAAATAGAGGATTTGAAGAACTATATCAAACCATTTGGACCCTAACAGACATATACAGAACACAACATACAACAGCAGAACACAGTTTTCTCAAGTACACGTGGAATGTTCTTTAAGATATACCACATGTTAGGACAGAAAACAATCCTTAACAAATTTAAATATATCAAAATCATAGATAAAAACTTTTCTAATCACAATACATTAAAAATAAAAACGAAGAGGAGAAAAGCTCAAATCTCCACAAATATGTAAAAATTTAAAAACACTGATAGAGAAAGGAATAAAATCAGAAAATATCTTGAGAGTAAGAGAAACAATCAGCATTGTGAAATGGCAGTAATATAGAGTGGATAGAAAATATTTGCAAATTGTGTATTTGTTAAAAGAATGTCAAAAATATAGAAAACAATAACAACAAAAACAAAAGAACCTTTTACCCTTCAACAGAAAAAACAAAACAAAACAAAAAAACTCCAAAAGCAATGAAAATAATCCGATTTGGCTAAATTTTTGAGAATAGACATTTCTCAAAAATACAAAAACGTGGAAAGGGCCAACAGGAATCTCAAACTGTTCTCAACATGACTAATTGTCAGGAAAATGCAAATCAAAAACAAAATAAGATTTTACCTGAAATCTATTATGATGATTTTAATCAAATAGACAGTAGACAGCTAGTGTTGGCCAGGCTGTGGAGAAAAATGGACACTTGTACACTGCAGGTGGGGATGTTCATGTGTAAAGACAAAATAGACAAGAACATGGAATTACCTCAAAAATTAGAAATAGAAATACCACATAATCCAGCAACTTTCCTTCTCTGTATATCTCCAAATGAATTGACATGAGGGTCTCTAGGAGCTATCAGTATTATTTACAAATAGCAAAACATGGACGAAAAGTACTAAATGTCTACCAAAAGATGAGTAGATAACGTGATATATACAGGCAAAGGAATATTATTCAGCCTTAAAAATATAGAGAAATCATGCTATTTGTGACAACATAGATGTAACTGGAGGACATGATGCTTAGTGAAATAAGCCAGAGATAGAGGACATACTACATAATCCCACTTTACTGAAAACAATAAAGTTACACTTTGCAAGGACAAAAAAAATCTTGAGACAAATGGAAATAAAAATACAACATGCTGAAACTCAAAGAATGCAGTGAAAACAGTGCTAAGAGCAAAATTTACATTAAAAAGATCTGAAATCAACCACCTGTCATTACACTTGAAAAACTAGTAAAACAGGAAGAAATTAGTGAAAAAACAATCAGAAAAAAGATTAGAACACCGGTAAACAAAATAAGGACACTAGAAAAAAACAAGTAAAAATAAACTATCAGTGTCAAGTTGGTTTTTGAAAAAATCAATAAAATTGACAAATTCTTAGCTACGTAAACATAGAAAAGAAAGAAAAATGTTTAAACTAGTAAATTAATAAATGAAATAGGTGATGTTACATCTGATGCCACAGAAACAAAATGATTGTAAAAAAGATGAGTTCTACACCCAAAATTGAATAACCTACATAAAACTGATAAATTCTTAGAAATGAAAAAGCTATCATACCAAATCTTAAAGAAATTAGAAATATAAAGAGAACTGTAATAAGCATGGAGATTGAACTAGTAATCAAAAACCTTGCCACAAAGAAAAATCCCAGGTTTAGATGACTTCACTGGAGAATTCTCTCCAATATTTCAAGAAGAATTAACACCAATCCTCCTCAAACTATTTGAACGAATTAAAAAGGAAGGATCACTTCCAAATTCATTCCACCAGTGAACGAATTAAAAAGGAAGGACTATTTGAACGAATTAAAAAGGAAGGATCACTTCCAAATTCATTCCACCAGGCCAACATGATGCTGATACCAAAGCCAGAAAAACACCTTTATCTGTTTTACTGTTGTCATAGCCATTGATTGACAACAGGTGGCTTACTCAGAGTTAGCAAGATATACATTAATTGGCACATTGACAATTTTAAGAACATGAATCATTTGTTTATTAAACAGATATCTCATCCAAGTCATGAGCACCCCCCCTTCAAGACAGTGAATATTATTAGAGAACTGCTTGTGTGTGTAGACAAGATATTTCCCCATTTTTGATCAAACCATTCTTCATGAAGTATAGATGATCAGTTTTTTGATTGAAAAGGTAATTTCTTTGTATTGATCCCTTGTTGCTGGAAAAGTTAATTCCCAGGTTGTCATGTTCC